TATCAAAGCATTGATTTTTATACCCTACACTACTATGTTGTCAGGGTATTATAGCTTTGTGCAGCCCCAAAAGTTTGTAACGCCGTCATATCTCGACTAGCTGAGTCGATCTAGACATGTGTGTCCGTCCGTCCGTCTGTCCATTATAATTTGTAAACACGATACAGGCCACAGTTATGGACCAATCTTCACGAAATTTTGCATGTAGGATGGGTTCTGGCCAATGAAGACCCCTATTGTTTTTGGTAAAGATCGGTTAATATTTAGGGGATGAAATGGACCAAAAACTTTTTTTTGTCGGTTTTTCTGGTCCCTCCAGAGGCCGCAATTATGGCCCAAACACCGCGAATTTTTGCATGGAGAAGGGGATCCGGCCAGAGAATAAGCATGCATGTTTTGATAAAGATCGGCCAATATTTAGCGGGTCAAATGGACCCTGACTTTTGTGTGAAAAATGACAAAATTTGTATTCTACAGCGTATATATTTACTCCTGAAGGACCTGGACCAGAAAAGTTTATATTATATCCAAGAGGAGTGGTTGACCTTTAAATTGATACCAATTATATTGTCGTATGTACTCGGATGTGGCAGTTACACTTAAATAAGAACAGATGCTTACGTATTAATATATTATTTAGTAAACCATCACCACACTAGAGGGCTGAAATATTGCCCTGACCGCTTTAAAATTTACCATCAGAATCCAGGTATGGTCAAGGACAACGCCTATAATTTTCGGTGATGATCTGATAATAATATTGGGATGGAGTGGACCGAAAACTTAATTTTTTGTGTTTTTTCGATTCGATCTATAGACCACATGCCGAACATCACAACAGAACCCACAGTGAATGGAATCTGGACAAGTGTTTAGAAGGGCTGTACTGAATATTGGGAATATCCGGAAAATATGTCAGTGTAAGGAAGAGGTGCTTTTGACCTCTAATCGGGCAAGAGTGTGCAACTATTACGAAATATTGGCCATATTCGGAATAAAAATCCGCAGAAACTTAGATTTCCGTGGTAGTTGTGTAGGGTATCGTATGGTCGGCCCCGTCCGACTATACTGCTCCGCTCACTGGTTTTTAAATATTTTTAGAAAGAGTTATAAAGTTGAAGGACTATCAGAGCATTGATTTTTTTAACATTTTTAAAAAGAGTTGTATATTTGATTAACCACAAAGGGTCAATATTTTATCTAATTAGATAATTGTCCTAGGTGTTGGATTTGCCATCTTTCGTTGCCTAGAAACAACGGTTTCTTCAATTTTTGCAGTGGTAGGGGTCCTTGCTTATTTAGTTTTGCCATTTTTCTCTATGTGGCGCTATCCTGCTTTTTTTTTGTATTTGTCATCCTCATGTGCTTATATCGAAGTTGAATATTAAAATATCAAAGGTTTGGAATGCATTTCATCCGGAGAGAGTTATACGTCGTTTTTTACAAATATTTGAAAATTTGATTTATCCCATATACTGGTATTAGTTACCGGTACTAATAGGTAGTAGCCCTTCACGCTATCCAAGGCACAACGCCACATTTAGTAGATTTTGAAACAATTTATTTAGAGGTTAATTAGGATCTTTTTGGGGATCATATTGTAAATATTTATTTATAATCTTGGTTACAATACGTTTTCTTTCAATCTTTCGAGTCATTAAATTTCAACTTTAAATGAAAATTTTGTGAATTTTTCCTTAGGTATAATGTGAATTTTACAGATTGAAGAATAATTCAATATAAGCTTAGATTTAGAAAATTTAAGGAATATTCGATCTATAAGTTTGTAGTTTTTAAACCTCTTTTTTTGTCTGCAGGCAAGTCAAGTTCGAAGATGGGATATATCGGTCCACGTTTAGGCATATCTCCCATATAACAGTACCTCCCAATTTTCGGTATTTTGGGGTTCTTGAGCGCGTTTTTCAACCGAATTCACTGAAATTTGGTACATTGGGTTCTTATTGGGTACTAAATGTTTCCACAAACAATTATAAATATAGGTCCACTTTTTCTGGTAGCCCTCATATAACGATACCTCCTAATTTTCAGTATTTTGAGGGTTTTGATCGTATTTTTTCACCGAATTGGCTGTAATTTAGTATTTTTAGTTCTTAATAGGTTCCAAATCTCTCCACAAAAAAATATGAACATAGATCCATTTTTTCGGGTAGCCCCCATATATGGGTACCCCCAATTTTCGATATTTTGGGGTTAATGAGCGCGTTTTTCAACCGAATTCGCTGCAATTTGGTATTTAGTGGTAACAAATCTCACCCTCTTTTTGGGGTAGTCCCCATATAACCCCATATGTTTGTAACAGGCAAAAGGAAACGAAATTGACAAATGGTTCCTTTTGAGAATATGCATAGAATCACGTTTTAAGTCGATTTATGCATGTCCGTCCGTCCGTCCGTCTGTTCATGGTAAACTGTAAGCAAAGTACAGGTCGCATTTTTGATTCGAATTGGATGAAATTTGGCACAGTTACTTTATTCGGCACAAGGACGAACCCTATTGAAATTGGGAAAAAAGCGGTTCAGATTTAGATATAGCTTCCATATATTTTCGTTCGCTTTAAGGTAAATATTACTCCAAAGTCTCTATATATCTTCCGATTTGCACGAAATTTGGCATAGCGTACTGAATAAGGTCTAGAACGATGTGTGTTAAATTTCGCTTCAGATTTAGATATAGCTCCCATATATATTTTGGTCCGATTTAAGGTAAATAGTGCACCAAGACCCTATATATCCATCGAAAGTTGGCATAGCGTTCTGAATTGAGTATAGAATGGTGAGGGGTGAGTTTTGGGAAAATCGGTTCAGATTTAGATATAGCTTCCATATATATTTTCGTCCGATTTTATGTAAATGGTGCATGGAAGTCCCTATATATCCTTCGATTTGCAAGAAATTTGGCACAGCGTACTGAATTAAGTCTAGCTCCCATATTTTTTCGCCCAATTTAATGTAAATGGTGCACCAAAGCCCCCAAAGAAATTTTTTGATTGGCACGAAATTTGGCATAACGTTCTGAATTAAGTGATGTGTATTAAGTTTTGGACAAATTTACCCATTACCCTCTTGTATGTACTCATAGTGGTGAAGGGTATCATATAGTTGGCCCCGTCCGACTTTTGAACTTTCCTTACTGGTTCATATTAAAATAGCTATCTAATTTGTTCCGTGTTTTGGGTTTGGTTCTAAGACTCAGTTGTAATCTTTTCACCTGCGGAGGATATCGAGATAAAAAACTATAATCCGCATTTAGACCTAGCCCCTGTGTGGGAGGTACCAGAAGGAGTGGACCGATATTCCCCATCTTCAAACTAGAACTAAGTTTGGAAAAATAATATGATGGGCAAAATTTGGATGAAATCAAAAATTTTTGAAACTAATTTGGTCCAAAGAAACATGGGGTCTAGAACCAATATTTCGATTAGGCATATTTTCCCCGTGTCAAAGTGTATACACCCTCATTAGCCATAAGGTTGCGGGTATAATTACCCATTAAAATTTTTTTAAATTTTTATTATGGCTTACGGTTTGTAGAAATGTCGGTATAGGTCCATTTTTTGGTATTTTCCCTATATTTTCATTTCAAGTACCTGTCAGTATACCTATGGTGGAGGGTATCCTAAGTTCGGCCCGGCCGAACTTAACGTGTTTTCACTTGTTTTTGTTTATATACGATACCTTAATATGAAGAATATGTCTTTATGTACTATCAGAGCTACAGGTGTTACAAATAACTTTTGTAATTTTTTCTCCAGGATCGGAAGTATATTTCCTACAATCGTATGAACTTCTGTATCAAAATTTGTTCTACAATATGTGTAGCTCTATCCATAGACCCATTTGGTTCAGAAGTGGCAATTCAATTTCTTTACGATCCTCATTTCGATTTATTTTAAATTCGTTGTGGCCCAACCTTAATTGTAATTATATTTTTTTTCTCAAAACTGCCATAGAAAGTAAAAAATAATATAAAAAACAAAGAAAGAAAAGTGAATTAAAAACGAAATAAAAAAATTGGATGAATGAACGAATTAATGGTTTTGAAACCGTAGGAATCGACGGTTACCATATGAAGAGCAAAAAAAAAACATAGAAACAAAAACACAAGTAAAATTAATTAATGCAATTATTTACTGTGTGTGTGTGTGTTTGCGTGTATGTAAGCGTTTTCTAAGCGAAATTACTGTGAACGAGAAGAAGAAAACGTAGTAATGTTTAATGTAGTTCAAGTTTATTTCAAATTACTGACCTTCATTACAAAAAATATAATAATAATAGTAAAAAATTATTAGATCTGCAGAGATGTGTCAATTGTATAACATCATATTGGAGGTCATGTGGATTGGTTGATTTGAATTGGCTACAAATTTCGACAACAAATTCTAGTGACCTGACCTAACCTCCGTTGAAATTTGTTAGCTTGCAACATATCTTCAATTTCTTCTTTCTGTATGGAAATAAAGAAAAGCTTATTAGGGACGACATATAATTTTTTGTTGTTGTTGTTGTTGTGAAGTTCACACAATCAACAAAGTTCAAAAGGTTAAATAGTTCATTAAATATGTTATTACTCCATTATTTGTGAACAAACAATAAGAAATAGTTCTCAATATTGTTCTCTATCTTATTATTAGCCATTTTTTTACTCTTTCCGCCCTCCCAAGCCATTAAATACCAAACGGTCATTGTGCGTTTTTTCTCGCAGGAGTGCGTGCTTGTCCGATGACTGGCTGAGAAATAAAAAATGTAGCGACATTTGTATCTTTGTATCTTTTCCGTTTTCATACTCTCGCTGCTGGCGGCCCTGTCTTGACCTACGCAACAAAGTAACAATTAAAGCCACTTAATTAAATTATGTTCACAGACATACAGACTTGCCTGCTTTGCTTGTTTGTTTCTTTGCTACGAATCAGCATCTGATATAATGATGTGGTATGCCGCTTATTCTCATATTCGTATCTTTTGTCCCATCTATTCTTACAGTTGAATCCGACCGAACCACAACCAGTTCCTGCATTTTTGCCAGCACATTTAAATAACAAACCTATCTGTGACGATATCATTAGGAAATTTTCACCATCCAGACGTTTGGAATCGAGGGAATTGGCAAAACTTTTGGCACAACCACATTTTAGGGTAAGTATTGAAAACAATATTTGGATTTTAAAAGAATATTTTGATGGAATATTTTTTGGCGGACTATCAGACATGCATGCAAGAATTTTTTACAATATTTGTTGCGTATCATCAGGTCTACCAGCGTGGATTTTTGAAGACACAATTTTGAGGCACTGTCGGACCTATAAGCGTTAATTATTAAAGACAAATTTTTGGGGGACCATCGGACCTACAAACTTGGATTTTTATAATCAAATTTTTGAGGGATTATCATACCTACAAGTCTGAGTTTTTAAAAGAATATTATTTGAGGAAATATCAGACTTACAAACGTCGATTTTTAAAGCAATTTTTTGACGGACTACAGGCGTGGATTTTTAATGCATATTTTTTGACGGACTACAGGCGTAGATTTTTAAAGCATATTTTTTGACGGACTACAGGCGTGGATTTTTTAATCATATTTTTTGACGGACTACAGGCGTGGATTTTTAAAGCATATTTTTTGACGGACTACAGGCGTGGATTTTTAAAGCATATTTTTTGACGAACTACAGGCGTGGATTTTTAAAGCATATTTTTGTCGAACTACAGGCGTGGATTTTTAAAGCATATTTTTGACGAACTACAAGCGTGGATTTTTAAAGCATATTTGTGATGGACTATCAGACTAATAAGCATGGATATTTTAAAGTATATTTTAGTAAAGAATATTTTGGGTGGACTATCGACCTTCAAGGGTGAATTTTTTATTAAATAATATTTTGGGTGGACTATCGACCTTCAAGGGTGAATTTTTTATTAAAGAATATTTTGGGTGGACTATCGACCTTCACGCTTGGATTTTTTGAACGGACTAACAACGTGGGGTTTTAACCAATATATTTTTTTGTGGACTAAAGGATTCTCAGACCCCCAAGCGTAGATTTTTAAAAGAATATTTTTAAAGGACTTTCAGACCTCCAACCGTGGATTTTTAGAAGAATATTTTAAAAGGACTTTTAGACCTCCAAGCGTGGTTTTTTAAAATAATATTTTTAAAAGACTTTCAGACCTCCAAGCGTGGATTTTTAAAAGAATATTTTTAAAGGACTTTCAGACCTCCAAGCGTGAATTTTTAAAGGACTTTCAGACCTCCAAGCGTGGATTTTTAAAAGAATATTTTTAAAGGACTTTCAGACCTCCAAGCGTGAATTTTTAAAGGACTTTCAGACCTCCAAGCGTGGATTTTTAAAAGAATATTTTTAAAGGACTTTCAGACCTCCAATTGTGGATTTTTAGAAGCATATTTTTAAAGGACTTTCAGACCTCCAAGCGTGGATTTTTAAAATAATATTTTTAAAGGACTTTCAGACCTCCAAGCGTGAATGTTTAAAGGACTTTCAGTCCTCCAAGCGTGGATTTTTAAAAGAATATTTTTTTAAAGGATTTCAGACCTCCAAGCGTGAATGTTTAAAGGACTTTCAGTCCTCCAAGCGTGAATTTTTAAAAGAATATTTTTTAAAGGATTTCAGACCTCCAAGCGTGAATGTTTAAAGGACTTTCAGTCCTCCAAGCGTGAATTTTTAAAAGAATATTTTTTAAAGGATTTCAGACCTCCAAGCGTGAATTTTTAAAGGACTTTCAGTCCTCCAAGCGTGAATTTTTAAAAGAATATTTTTTAAAGGATTTCAGACCTCCAAGCGTGAATGTTTAAAGGACTTTCAGTCCTCCAAGCGTGAATTTTTAAAAGAATATTTTTTAAAGGATTTCAGACCTCCAAGCGTGAATTTTTAAAGGACTTTCAGTCCTCCAAGCGTGAATTTTTAAAAGAATATTTTTAAAGGACTTTCATAACTCCAAGCGTGTATTTTTGGGAGACTATCAGATCTACAGGCGTGGATTTTTAGAAGAATGTTTTTGGGAGACTATCAGATCTACAGGCGTGGATTTTTCAACAATATTTCTAAAATAATGTTTTTTGAAGGACTTTCATACTTACAAGTGTGGATTTTTTAAAGAATAGTTTTGAAGCTCTATCGCAACTACAAGAGTAGATTTCTTAAAGAATATTTTTGAGGGACCATCAGACCTAAAAGCGTGGATTTTATAAACATATTTTTTAGCGTACTATTAGACCTAAAATCGTAGATTTTAAAAAGCATATTTTTGTCGCAGATTTTTAAAAACATATTTTTGGCGTACTATCAATCACAAAGGCGTAGATTTTTAAAGCATATTTATTGGCGGACTATCAGACCTAAAATCGTAGTTTTTTAAAAGAATAATTTTTGGCGTGCTATCAGGCCTAAAGGCGTAGTTTTTTAAAAGAATAATTTTTGGCGTCCTACTATAAATATCGATATCAGTCCACGTTTTTGGTATGTTTAAGTCGCCTTTCCAAAGAGTCTGTAGTTTGGTATTTCGTTTACTCCTGGCACCAATTTACCGTGTGGAATATCTCCTGTATAAATGTCCCGATGGATTTCAAGCATTTTGAATGTCCACACTTAAAAGATGGATTTGGATTTTTCGGTTTTGTTTTATTATTTTTGAGGACTATCATTTCCGTAATCGCGGAATTTTTATAGCATAATTTTGGGGGAATTTTTGAAAGCATAAATAATTCCGTATTTTTAAGGATATTTTTCGAGGAATTTTATAATCTCTGATTAAAAATATATTTTTGAAGCATTATATTAATCTCTTTTTATTATTTCTCTTTTACAGGCCCTCATTCGTGCCCACGATGAAATAGGTTATCTCTACGAAGCACGTTTAAAAGCTGCCGGTGGTTCTCTGACAAAACTTGAAGAAATCTCACAACGTAAATCAGGTGGCTATCTATTCTCTCCCGATTTGTTTGCAACAAAAATGCCGATCGAAACAATAAAAATGGTTGGATTGCGACGCAATCCAAATCAACCGCTGGGTCTCACCGTCGAAGTGGATGAACATAAACAGCTGGTGGTAGCACGTATTTTAGCTGGTGGTGTTATCGATAAACAAGGTCTATTACATCCTGGTGATGTTATATTAGAAGTAAATGGTACTCCTGTACATACCCCTGAAGAATTACAGGTCGAAGTATCGCGGGCTAAGGAAAATCTCACATTGAAAATTGGTCCAAATGTTGAGGAAGAAATTAAATCGGCACGTCTACAAAGGGGCCAGGTAAAACAAAATGGTGTTGCTAAAATTGAACCGGGCAAAAAACTGACGGTAGGTTGTGTTTGTCTTTTTGGTGTTGTTGTTGTAGTTTGAATGTTGTTATTTTTTATTAGTATTATTTTGTTAAATATGTTATGTATGTATGTAGCTCGTCATGTTTTTCATTAACAGCTGGATTGCATTTTTTAAATTTGTTTTTGTTTTGGCAATCGCAGAATTAATTTTTGAGCTTTTGCATGAAAAGTACTTCTATAGAGAGAACACTTTTCTTTAGACATTGTGCAGATGGAAGATCTGCTTTTATTTGTGGAAGATCTACAGGCAAGTAGGTGATCTGGAATATTTTCTATGTTTAAAATGCCTTGATTAGTTCCTTGATTTGAAAATTCAAATATATTGAATATATAATATATATGACTTCCATGATCTCCACACATCTTTTATACGACCTTCTACAAATCTCCACTGGTGCAGAGATCTTATTTAGAGCCTCTTTCAAGTGTTCTATTAATATTTGTTGTTTGTAAAATCTTGTCTCAGTGGTATCCTACAAGACTCTTCCGCCAGCCAACTAATACCATTTTTTTTTTAATTAAATTGATGTTTAATTTTGTTAAATTTTGCTTTAATCATGATTATTCATAACATCAAAAATAAAAAATACTTTATCTGAAATTCCTATGTGAAGGAAATGAAACGTTCTATTATAAACTAAAATATTAAATGCATGCCTAAAACTATGCTCTAAATTTTGGTTTTGTCTACATTTTGAATATTCAAATACATATAATTTTCAATATTCCAATATTAATAATATTTACTAAACAATTTTCAATTGGTTACAATGTTAATCAGGCCAAACAAAAAGTAAACAATTCATGCAGTAAGTAGAAAATTAGGCAATAAGACAAAAAAGAAGAAGAAGATTATCAAAGTCCAAACATTATCATAAATAGGTTTAAATTTATAAATTTTATAAATATATTTTTAAATATTCTTTTATAAAATCTTAATAACTTACCTCCCCCATTTGCATTTAGTGTTACATGCGTGCCTTATTTACATATAATCCATCCGAAGATTCCCTATTACCCTGCAAGGATATTGGTTTGACATTTAAATCGGGCGATATTTTACAGGTATGCCAATATGTTTAATTTTTAGAAGAACATTTTTTAATACGTTTTTATTTGCTTACCAGATCATCAATGTCAAAGATCCCAATTGGTGGCAAGCCAAAAATATAACTGCTCAAAGTGATCAGATTGGTTTGATACCATCTCAGGAATTGGAAGAGAGACGTAAGGCGTTTGTGGCTCCCGAAGCTGATTATGTGCACAAAATTGGTATTTGTGGAACGAGGGTAAGTTACAAATAAAAACTGGGGATTTTTTATTATAAAAACTGAATTTAGAAAGTAAAGAATTCAAGAAGTGGAGAATTTTGGAAGTTTTGTGTTTTGAAGACTTATAAGTTTTACTTGTAGGGAATTCTGTAAAAAAAACATTTTTTGTTTTCGGTTCTAAAAGAAATGTTGACGGGGTTATTGATATTGGAATGTGGCATAAGAAAGAAATTACAGTTTAGCCCTTAGTTCGGATTAAAATCAAAATAAAAATATTAGAAAATTGTAAAAGATATTTTGATATATTTTTTGAGATAAAGTCCTCATAGCATTATTATTATCACATAGCATTATTAGTGGCATGCCAACAGTCAGTTATCTCCCGATTTTAATGACTTAGAAGTTAATGTCATAATATATTGGGTTTGGATTAAATAGTTTAGCAAGTTATAGGGTTTGACTATGGTCGACATTTTCAAGCAGATTTAATTGAATCCAAACCATTATAACTGTATTGTAAACTGTGCTAGGGTGTTCAAGCTTGAAAATTCGACAATTCGGCAGGGGGTGGATTGGCTGATGGCGGGCTGACTTCGACAGTCCCTTATCTTCCGTCTTCGTGGATGTTGGTGTCTGAGTCGTCTCAGTACTCTGTTTACCCTTGGGGGTACTGAGGGCTTAGACGTCTCAGGCACCAGCTTCCTAGGTGTGCTAGGATCTGCAGGCCATGGAGATTGAGTTCGGATCCTCAACCTCGCCAGGGTTTACACCCCTACTCATCATCTGGGAGATCTCACCTTGCTTCGGAGGAGATACCAGGATCGCTACTGTGTTTGTCACCGTAGTGCTAATCGCTATATTTCCATGATGTCTTTCTCGTCTGACAAGGGTGAGTCATCCCAGAGTTGATTCGGGATGCTCTCCTGGCTAAGGCGGAATTTCGGCCTTTTAGTAAGGGATTTAGGCCAACCATGGCAAGGACTTAGCAACATACCCTGAATAAACTTGTTGAGGTGACCAGGCATCAACAAGGCTCCGTTCTAATATAGTCGGCACGTCAAACCATAGAACACTGATGGGCACGAGGTCAGTGACCCAAATCTTTGAGATGGTTATTAGTTAGCTCAGGGATCATAGGCACTCGGTCATTTCCTCCGAGACTCTCCCCCTGAGTCCGCTGCTTGTCCGCAACTGTTTATTTGTTATTCACAGTTACCCAATGAATAGTATTGGGCTTCCCACTATCCGCAACCGGTGGACGCGTCCGTTAGCATTCAGCTCTGCTCCCCGAAGGCGGAAGCAGAACCCCTTGATGTGTCCGTAATCAGACGGGTTACGGACACATCAAGTGGTTCTTAAAGGGTTAAATCCAACGGCCCAAAGTATTACGGACATTTCAAGCGGTTCTTAAAGGATTAACTCCAACGGTCGCAATAGTTACTGACACTTCATGGGTTCCAAATTGGTTAATTTTGGTGGACCCAAGAGACAACATTGAAATTTCCCTATGTTTCACGCGGTCCACATGGAGATTGTTGGAATTTTCAATGCGTTGTTAAACACATGAACATGAATATGTTGGAATTTTCTGAAAATATGTTTTAATTCACGAAAAGGACCAAAATAGAAAAAATCAGGCAAGCATATATTTTTATACCCTTCACCACACTATGGTATGGGTCCTTACCCGGCCCGAGCCACACATCATAATCCAGTAATAAGAAGTAGCCAGCTCACAAAAAGATACAAAGCAACGGAACCCTGGACAGCTTATCAGTCTCTTATCATTTATCTGGGGCCCACCTGTTTCATATTTCATTAATCCCCACAAATATTTCGACTATGGGATCATTTCCTTTGTTTTTCAAATGTCGAGAAAGGATTTATCAGATGATAGTAGAGAGTTTATTTCCAGAGTTGCCTTTTTATGTCTTCATTTGTGATTTTTGTGGCATGTTTGATGTTTTAATTTCTTTATTTTATATTTTTTTTTCAGATCTCAAAACGTAAACGTAAGACTATGTATCGTTCGGTGGCAAATTGTGAATTTGATAAGGCTGAACTAATGTTATACGAAGAAGTGACACGCATGCCACCGTTCCGTAGAAAAACTTTGGTATTAATTGGTGTCTCAGGTGTGGGTCGACGAACTCTCAAAAATCGTTTGGTTAACAGTGATCCAGATCGTTTTGGTTATGTTATACCACGTAAGTATGAAATTGATTAAAATACATTAAAGTATACCATGGTAATTTCATTGTGTAGTTTTGTAATGCTTTCACATTTTGATAAAAATCAATTATAAATGAAATAAAGAAGAATGATTATAAATGAAATAAAAAGGGATCTCTTAGACTTCTTCTCTAGTGGTCTATAACTAACTTGTGTTTTTATACACATCACAATGGGTATATGTAGAAGGATACTCTATAGACCCGAGTTATATCAGTTATTAGGACGTGATTCTATGTATATCCCCGAATTTCTGGAAGTAAATTACGAGACGTAACACTATCGCTTAGAATCAGTTCAAATTTAGATGTATCTTTCATATATAATTTCATCCGAATTCTTCATACACGTAAATGATTCACCAGATACACAACGAATAATCGATTCACATGACCTTTTTTTAGGTGCCAAATTTGGTCAAGAATGATGATGTGTGTTCATTTTGGTTTAAATCCCCTCTGATTTTAATATAGTTTCCGTACATAATTTCGTACGGTTTCATGAAAATTATATTCCAAATACTACTCAAAAATCCGTATAAATAGAACAGTCTTAATTCTATTTTATTTGAAACTCGTTTATAACTATACTGTTTAGGTTACCACACTAGTATCCAAAAGTCTGCAATAAGTTGTACTAGATAGTTCAGATAGATATATCGCTTCCATACTTGATTTATTATGGGTTAAGACCGGAGAGCATCATGGTTATAAACTACCCTATTACGACTTCCATCCTTCTTTTTCTAATTTAAATTTATTTGTTTTTTAGACACCACCCGTCCCAAGCGTGCCCTTGAAGAGAACGGTGTCAGCTATTGGTTTGCCGATCGTGAATGGATGGAACAGGAAATCAAAGAGAATCGTTTCTTAGAATATGGTGAACACAATGGCAATCTCTATGGCACACACATACAATCGATAAAGGATGTCATCAATAGCGGTCGAATGTGTGTATTAGACTGTGCACCGAATGCATTGAAAGTTTTACACAATAGTCAAGATTTGATGCCATTTGTTATATTTATTGGGGCACCGGGTATGGAACAATTAAAATCAATTTATGCCGAACGTCGTGCAACCGGTTCAAATAAGAATTTGACGGTGGGTATTTGCAAACAATTATTCTTGAGGGAAATTGTAAATAAAAAAGTTTTTTGTTTGTCTCTTGCAGTTTGATCGTCAAAGTTCAATACGTTTTAGTTCGAGGCGTGCCCGTACCTTGGAATCATTGGCATCTTTATATGAGGTGTGTAACATATATTGTATATTTTGGGGATCCCTTACTAAATAGATTTTTTTGTTGTTGTTTTAGGATGACGATCTAATATCCACCGTTGAGGAGAGTGCATTTGTACAACGAAAATATGAAAAATACTTCGATATGGTCATAGTCAACGAAGATTTTGATGACACGTTCCGACAAGTTGTGGAGACACTTGATGAGATGAGTCATCAAGAACAATGGGTGCCAGTTAATTGGATATATTAAAAAAAATACTTTGCAAATTGCTAACCTTCAACTTTTTATACTAACGAAATGAAACGAGAGATGATAATGACGACGACGAATATAATTTTTATTAAAAAAAACAACAGCTTTTGACTGCTGCTTCCTCTGAAAAAATAAAGCTATTGCTGAAAGAAAAAATATTTATCTAAAAAAATATAATAATTTTTTTCCTCAAATACTACTATGAATACAAAACAACAACAAAAAACAAGATACAAAGTGTTCTTATTGTTAATTTTAGCTTTTAGTGGTCGAGTTTAAAACAATGAAAATATACAAAAACACACTTCTATTTCTTAATAGTTAAATCGTATAGCAATTATGCTTGATATATATATATGTACGTGTGTTTTTATTAAACATAACAAATTATGTATTAAAAAAATCAAATGCAGTTGTTAATTTTGTTTGTTTTTTTGTTAGATAAAAAAGATAAACAATTTTTAAAATTTTTTTATTACATTATTAAGGCCAGGGATGGGAAATTGGGTAATTTAACTTAATTCTCAATTTATTTTTGAAAAAGAACTGCAAAATTAATCTAGAATTAAGGGAAATTCTCACAATTCTCATTCTCCCAGGGCTGGGAAATTGGGTAATTTAACTTAATTCTCAATTTATTTTTTAAAATGAACTGCAAAATTAATCTAGAATTAAGGGAAATTCTCACAATTCTCATTCTCCCTGGTGAATCTTAGTTTTTATTTTAATATATGTTTTCCCAAAATAAAACTAAGTGCAAGAAAATACAAATCGTTTATAATTTTGTATTTGTATTAATAATGCAAACTATTTGTAACTCAAATTCGTCCATTTACAATATAATTGTTGCAATTTTTTCTATTATATAATTTTAATTTTTTATATTATTTTTTTCATATTTTTTATATATAATTATTTCTTACTGAATAAGTACAAGCATGATGTATGTATTTAATAGTTTTTTTTTTCAATAAAACCATTTTCTATTAGTTTCTATGAATTATTTAATAAATAAAAAAACAACTTCAATTGAAATTCCCATAGAAGTTTTCTGCATTTAGCAATAGTGGAAATAAATAAAAAAACATGCATATATCATCTACAACAAAATATTAAATGTATTATTACAATAACACAAAAATAAAATCAAACCATATATTGACTATACTATTCTGAATTATACTACTATTACTATAATTATTATTACAAAAAATCAAAAATATATCGAAATATAATGTTAAAGCTGTTTTGTGCTTTCGAACTTACATAAATATATGTATTAAGATGTGTTATACAATATAGAATGCATATTTGGCTCAAATATTTAATTGCAGTTTTATTTCAATAGAAGATAAAATAGAGGAGAAAGGAAAAAAGGAGGGAAATAAAGAAAGAGATAAAATGTTATAGCTTAACTTTGAAAGATTTTGTCACAACATTTTAAAGTTCTACAGCCAGGATTCTCAGACCCTCTGTTGCGGGGTTCTCGCAGTAGATCTTACGGATTTCGACAATGTAATATTCAATAGATGATCGAACGACTGTGACCTCCTACAGCGATGAATTCATGTACTGGAACATGCAATGTACCATTTCCGGTTTTAATACCTAGCTCTTTCATATCGAGTTCTTGCATGATTAGCGCACTCATCCACATTCCTTATCCACTTTAGTTTGTGGCCAAGGATTTTTCTGAGGTATTTGGCATATAATAAGAGTTTGGGATCTTATTTTTCTAATGAAGAATGCAATTTTTTCTTCGTAGGTTTGACCCCAATAACATTTGCTTGGGAGTCGAAGACAAGTTATTCAGCCTTATTCTGGATGTCAATTCCACGTGAATTTACTCGCTATTCTCCTTCGACTTATTCTGAACAACATTTCACAGTGCATTTTTTTTTGCAATCTCGCTTTCGCCTTATTCTGAATGAAGTTCGAAAGCGAAAAAATCCGCTTTGGGGGAAATTAGCTATTCTTGATTACCGGGAGTGGGAGAAAGAGATGACATTTTGTGCGAAATATTTTTCGCTAATAAATTTAAAGGAAGCTGACTACAATTCAATTAAATTTTATTTAACTTGTAATTCAAAGCCTGCAGGCCTATTAAAGATAAATTGCAAAATGCATATGAAGTGCTTAGCCTAATAAAAATAACAATAATAGGTGTGTCTGGTTACTTTTCTTCACACATCATCGGTAGTGGCTTTGGTTTGGCCAAAAGTCCGCACGCCGCGTGCTACATTTGGGTGCTACATTTAAGACGTCAAAATGTAACGAGAAATAAGTGGTTGCCGAAAAATTATATTTGAAGCAACTGAAGTTGATAACATTTGCCATCCATAAATCAAATTTGGCAATGCCACTTAACTATGGTTACCATCCGTAATCGACCCATTAATTATAATTTCAGGATTCTCTCGGTTCAGCTAAATCCAATTTGTATCACATTTAGTACCACTTAGAACACATAAGTACAAATTTCCATTACTATCTACATCATGCAATCAATCCAATGGAAATCTTAGTACTCAATTTCAGTTTCAATTTTCTTTATCGGCTCACTCTTAATCCAAATTTTACCAAATTTAGTGTCTTTAGTACACATTAGTAGAAATTTCCAAAACTTCCTACATACCCCAATTCAACAACCAAACATTTATCCTAACCACCATTTGGTACCATTTAGTACACATTAGTACGAAATTCCAAAAAATTCTACATTGCACAATCCTACAAAACAACAATGATATTAACTCCAAATTTCAGGATCCCAGCTCCATCAGTTCACCCAAAATTCAAATTGTACCAAATGTAGTACAATTTAGTACCCATAAGTATGAATATTCGAAACTATATCCATACCCCAATTTTACACTCCAACAATAACCTTATTTCCAAAATTTAGTGTTCCAGTGTTCGGTTCACCCAAATCCACATTTGGTACCATTTGGTACACATTAGTATAAATTTCCAAAATTTTCTACATATCCCAATCCTACACCCCAAAAATAACCTTAACTCCAAATTTCAGGATTCCAGCTGTATTGGTTCACTCAAGTACAAAATTTAGTACACATTAGTACGAATTTCCAAAACTTTCTACAAAGACAAATCCTACACCCCAACAGTGATCCTAACATCAAATTTTAAGATTCCAGCTCTATCGGTTCACCCAAATCCAAATTTGGTACCATTAGTACGAATTTTCAAAACATTCTAAATAGCCTAATACTACATACCAACAATGATCCTAACTTCAAATTTTCGGAATCCAAGCTCTATCAGTTCACCCAAAATTCGAATTGTACAATTTAGTACCCACAGATATGAATTTCCAAAACTACTTCAACAGTAACATTTCCAAACCTTTCCAAATTTCAATGTTCCAGCCCTATCGGTTCATCCAAATCCACATTTGGTACCGTTTCTACATATACGTCTACATATACCAATCCTACACCCCAACAGTAACCCTAACACCAGGATTCCAGCTGTCAAAATTTATATTGTACCAAATTTAGTAGACTTAAAAAAACATCAAATCCTAGCATCAAATTTCGAGATTCCAGCTCAATCTGTTCACCCATATCCACATTTGGTACCATTTAGTACAAATTTCACCAAAATTTAAATTGTACAAAATTTAGTTTACATTAGTAGGAATTTCCAAAAATTCTTAAGTAGCTCAATTCTACCCCCCAAAAGTGATCCTAACTCCAAATGTCAAGATTCCATCTTTCATAACCACCTCCTGAAATATACCCTACATCTCAACCCTAATTCGAATTCCAAATTTCAAGTTTTTAGCTCTATCCATTCACATGCTACGAAATTATACCAAATTTAGTACATTTTAGTACTTTTCGCATACTTATAGTTCGAATGTCCAAAAAATCCTTTGCTATATTTTTTCTACATTTCATCAGTGACCCTCATTTAAAATTTAAGAGTTCTAGCTCAAACGGGTTCGCCAAATACAAATGGTATCACATTTAGTACCGTTCTATGACGAATTTCCAAAAACCCAGCCTTGTCTTCCACCTTTGGACCAAGAGTGACCCTTACCCAAAATTTCAAGATTCTTGCTTGATCCATTTTGTCTGGGCGTTTATGAATCGTTAAGTCAGTCAGTCAATCACTTTACTCTTTTATTAATATAGATATATTCCTCAGTCGTAGATTGGTTGTACCAGTGACATCGCTCAAGAAACATTGTCGACCTTAAATTATGCCAAAGCGTCGGTGGTATATTATGCATTAAAATAATATTCAGATTTATCAGAAGACATACGATCAGTTGCAAATATCTTTATCGATCATATACGATATTCTATAAGGACGAATATATTGTTAACAATTTCCAAACTTATTATCTAGTACCTTCATACTAAAAAAAAACTATAATACATAAAAAAAATTAAAAATATACATTTTACATATTTTTATTTATTTTCTTAAATGTTTAATTACAAAAAAACCTCTTCACATATTTTATATAGTTTCCATTGTACATTTAATGTAATTTGGATAATAGATGTTTAGTAAATTCCTAAAGATTTTTCCATGACAACATGAGGTTGACGAATGAATTCGAAATTTTCTGGTACACCCAAAAAGTCGGGGAATGTGATCATTTCGTCACGGCCCAATAAAACATCTTCCATCATGCGGCTGTAAAAAAGAAGGAAATATGAAATATATAATAAATATAAACCCAGATTATATAAATATATATAAATAATAACTGAAAATTGTCATTGTCAGATTATTACTCAGAAAATGAAGATATGTAAGTGTTGAAGGGCAGCCAAAGTAAAGAGGGTTCTAAAATGTAACGTATTGTGAGGCTATGTTAAATTGAATATGACAAAGAACTGTATTGAAACTTGAACCTATAGAATTTAACATCGGCGTAACCGAAAGATATATACCCCCAGCATATGACAACGTTGTATACACGTATGCTGATTTCTGATATGCTATTTTGGTTTACGGAAGTCTACGGTAT